ACATAATGTATTTTAAAAAACACAAAAGAATCAAAACTCATAGATCCATAATCTCTAATACCTTGTAGTCCATGAATGGTTTAATCTTAGGCAGTTTTCACAAGGAAAGGGAGTTCTTGAAGTGCAAGAAGAAATTCAAATGTTAAACCATCCTAAGAGAAGGTTATTAAAATGGTCTAATAATTATTGACAAAGGCATACAGCAAATAATCAACTTTAAAAGCAATATAATCTACTGCTAAAGCTTTATACACTCGTGGCACCACAGAGGGGAAGACAGAGCAAATTTGACAAACCTAGATCCCTAGAGAGACGTGTCCTGTGTCTGCATACCGTCCTTGCCCACGCCATTACACCTAACAAACCCAACCCCCAGCTCCTTCCTTAACATCCCAAAGATTCTTCCTGACCACAGCAATGCATCCAGTTTCTTTTGCTCCAAAGCGCCCAGACTTCTTCCCCTTCCTATGTACTTCAACTAGCAGGTAAGCAAGGGGCAACTGACTCTAAGTGCATTAGGTCAGATCAGGGGCATGATTTTGAAGTATTTCTTCCAATCTGTTCCACCTGCCATCCTTTGGGTCACATTAGAGAGCAGAGTACACAAACTGGATGTATTTTAGATGAAAGTAAATTGAAAGACGTGGTCCAAAAGTAGATCTTAATGGGTTACAATAACAGTTTATTAAATGTCATTAGCAGAGAAATTTAGATTTTATTCTAGGAAATAGGAAAAGAATTTAAGTACTTAAAAGCTTTTATGTTTTTGTTGTATTTATGTATTCTCACATCTATCTTAATTTCTACTGTATGCACTCCATCTCCCTCATTCTCTTTAAAAGTCTTAATAAATGTGCTGTGACTGGCACTACCATCTAAATTGAAACAGCAGGGTTTTTTAAAATCTAAAGTGTTAATTAATGGTGGTATGCCAGAGCTATGAATAGACAATATTTATAAATCAGTCTTAATAGCAATCCTTCACCTCTGATTCCCAGCCTCCTGACACTGTATATTTTAAACATAGCAAACAATTTAAAAACCCAAACCACCACGGTGAATGTGTGTTCGCCTTCACTAATATCATTTCTGTCTCCTAATAACACCTGGTGAGATCATTTGCATGATATACACAAAAAGATCTGTGCAAGATCTGTGGGATAGTTTTAATACAGTCCAAAAGACAAACTGAGTAGAGGGGGAAAAAAAAGAAAAAGGCAGCTGAAGTGGTATTAAATATAGGCGTTTCTTTCTAGTAACATTCGGATTCAATATGCACATTGTTACTGTGCATATTTGTGCCACATTTTGACAGCTTCCAAAGCAAACAAGCAGTCTCACAGAATCACAGAATGGTTAAGCTTGGAAAGGACCTCTAGAGGTCATCTAGCCCAAGCAGGGACACCTAGAGCACGTGGCACAGGGTGGCATCCAGGCAGGTTTGGAAGATCTCCAGAGAAGGAGACTCCACAGCCCCTCTGGGCAGCCTGTTCCAGGGCTCTGTCACCCTCACAGTCAAGAAGTTCTTCCTCACATGGAGATGGAACTTGCTGTGTTTCAACTTACACCCGTTTCCCCTTGTCCTGTCACCGGCCACCACAGAGAAGAGCCTGGCCCCATCCTCCCTACAATCACCCCTCGGGTATTTGAACATGTTGATGAAATCTCCTCTCAGCCTTCTCTTCTCTAGACTGAACAGGCCCAGTTTGCTTAGTCTTTCCTCATATGACAAGTGCTCCAGTCCCTTAATCATCTTTGTGGCTCTATGCTGGACCTTCTCTAGAAGCTCCATGTCCCTCTTGTACTGGGGAGCCCAGAACTGGACACAATACTCCAGATGTGGCCTCACCAGGGCTGAGTAGAGGGGCAGGATCACCTCCCTCGACCTGCTGGCAACGCTCCTCCTGATGCAGACCAGGATCCCATTGGCCTTCTTGGCCACAAGGGCACATTGCTGCCTCATGGTTAACTTGTTGTCAGCCAGGGCTCCCAAATCCCTCTACATGGAGCTGCTTTCCAGCAGGTCAACCCGTAATCTGTACTGATGCCTGGCATTATTCTTCCCCATGTGCAAGACCCTGCATTTGTCCTTGTTGAACTTCATGAGTTTTCTCTCTGCCCAGCTTTCCAACCTGTTCAAATCCCTCTGAATGGCTGCACAGCCCTCTGAAGTGTCAGCCACTCCTCCCAGTCTGGAGCCATCTGCAAACTTGCTCAGGGTGCACTCTGTGCCCTCGTCCAAATCATTGATGAACAGTCTACAAAGTTTTAAACTGAGAATTTCACATGATGCCTTCAACACCTGCTGCTAAAGCCTTAACTGAGTCCTGAAACTGAGACTCAGGAACCACAAGCACAACCAGGTGCAACACACAGCCCTAACGAAGCCCTGAATTACCAGCCCTCCCCACCTCCCCGCCCAGCCTTGGGGTGCACAGGGCAAAGGGGCACCCGCTCCCTCGACCGTCGGAGCCTTCATCTCGTGTGACAGGAGGAGGAGGAGGAGAAGGAGGTGCAGGGAGGAGGAAGAGGTGCCGCCGCCAGAGTGGAGACCCGGCTTTCCCTAGGCTGCGCCGGGCCGGGGCGCCGCCGCCAGGCCCGCACCTGGAGAGCGGCCGCATGTTGTGCCGCCGCAGCGCCTCCTCCTTGTCGCTGAGCAGCTTCAGCT